AAGTTCTACAAATGCAGCTGTGACATGGAAAATCACCTGTTGGTCAGTCAAACAAGTAGAGCCCCTGTCCACTTTCAAAATAAGTTCTGCTCTCCCGGCCTCGGCCTGTGTCACACCTAAATGTAACGGGATCCATAAGCAAAAGTGTTTACAACTCCTAGGCAAAGTCTAACAGCATCCTCCAAGCATATAGCCCCTTTTGCTCTCATTCTTAAAACTGGGGGGTGAGGGGCTGGGAGGGGTTGTGTGCTCTGGGATGGAATTTCACCACCATACTCTACTGTCTTGCTAAGGTGTGTCTCTGTACATCTCATTACTCATCTCATAAGGAGACAAAGTTCATGGGCACTTAGACTGTCTAATATTTTTCCTTCATTTGAACATTTTCTCACTAATCTGAGGAAGTCTTTCAGCTGTTCTGCCACTTTGAGTTTTTTGAGAGATGTCAGTGTCAGTGTAGCTACAGATATGTGCAGCCATCACCACAGTTAATATGAGAACAATTTCATGCCTCAAAAAGAAACTCCATACCCTTGAACTATCACCCTCTCTCCCCGAGACCCCTCCCTCCCTCAGCCTGATGTTATTGCTTGTCTTCATTCTGTCTCTATAGGTGTCTCTATTTTGGACATCCATATGAATGGAATCATGAAGTATGTGGTCTTTTGTGACTGACTTCTTTCTCAGCATAATGCTTTCAAGGTTGCTCCGAGCCACAGCATGTCCTTTGTATGACTGAATAATATCCATTGTCTGAATATACCACATTTTATTTCAGTGAAAGGACTTAAGTAGAGGCAGTGGGAATCAGTGAGTTGGAACTAGGCCAGGTATCAATAAGCCTCTGTCTGGCCTCCCTGACAGTGCTGGGACATTCTGAGAACACAGAACACGTGCACGTCATATGGGATTAGCAAGTCCTTGTAGGCAGATGCAGCTCTTTGGTCTAGGTTTTCACTGGACCACAGTTTCCAGCCCTTTATTGGACATGCTAATAATTTGTCACAGGGAATCTGCCCTACACATCACTCTAGTGACCCCAATGTCCATGGGACCCTGCCTTTCCCAGTCATGTCTGATTGCAGCAAGGTTGGTGGGCATTTGGCCAATTGTGGTGGCTTAGTGGCCAGACTTAAAGAAGATAATCTTGAACAATCAGATTCATCCCTTGGAAATATGGTATCAGGAAGCTGAGCTGCTGAACCACCATCCAAGATGGGTATAAAGGCTACAAAGAAGACTTGGAGCTGTGTCAAATATGAGGGATGATACATGAGCAAAAGTTAGGAGGAAACCAGTCAATTGGAAGGAGAGAAAGGAGTGGCTGTGCAGAAGAGCAGAGACACCCAAAGAGAGATCTTGGGCCTCTAGGGGGAAAACCAGGTCCAACTGTGGTGGCTGTCCCAGGACGGCTTGGTTTCCTTACAATAAACTGTACCCCACCCTTGCGGGGCCTTGTTGTTGGACCAGCATGAAAGAATGTCTGTTCCTTGCACCCAAAGAAGCCCAGACTGAAATACAAGCAAAATGGGTACAGTGTCAGGAGCTGGGAAGGGAGAGGAGTGTTGGGGCAGCAGAAGTTCAGAAGGATGATGGCCATCGGCTGGGCAGTATTGGGGTGATCTGGCAGCATGGGTGGGGCAAAAGAAGGGATGCTTGGTAACAAAGTGAAATATAGAAAGGCAGAGGCACCTAATGAGCTTCTAATCTAGAGCTAAATGTCTATGTACAAACATGTGTGTGTTCCCATGTGTGCATATCTGCATGTGGCAAGTGTGGGGGCCCCAATAGCAAAGGTGAGCTATGCATGTGGATCCTGGAAGCCGAGCAACACAAGGGGTAGTCATGCTCAGCAGGCAGCAGGAGCACTGCCTGGCCCTTCCTTCTCCAGCCTGAGCCTGGGCAGCAGCATCTCTCATCACTGTTGGTTAATGTTGGCAAAGACAGAGACATTGAATGCTAAAAAAAAAAAACCTCTAAGGAGAGCAGCTGGTACAAAAATGCTTGGGGAGATGGGGAAGAGAAGAGTGTCAGATAAAAATATCTTTCTAGATTTTTCTTCTTCAAATATGCATCTATAGAGATGTACACACCGTTTAGTTCTGAACCCCTGAAGGCTCCAAAACACGAATTTCAAACTTTTCAGCTAATGCCTGGGAGAATCTTGGTCCATGGAAGCAGAGGTGACATTGGTAAGTTTGGATATAGCAGAAGTCCTCTAAAATCTCTGCTGGGCAGCTGCAAGGGGTAGGGGGAGCACGTCTTGCCATTCTTTAAAATTATTCTTTTAAAAGATGAAATGTTTTCCTTTCCCCTCTTCCATAAGTCCATTATGGAAAAAATTCAAAACAGGCATAAAAACACAAAGAAGATTTAAAAAAAATTTCTGCGTCAGCCCCACAGCCAGATGTAACTGGTCACTTCGTGCTGCATGTTAATTGCAGCCTCTCCCCCTATATTCATACCACTCTTCCTGGCCACATGCCTGTGGGCACTGATGCACACCAGCCTGGCAGAGAGTAGCAGAAGTTGAATCAACCCTGCCACCTGCTGCCCGATCTGATTTCCTAAGCAAATTTTTGGCTCTTTAAAACTCTTTTGCTTTTCAAATCATTACTGGCTATTTCTCCATAAAGTAAAAAGTGAAACTCCCCTTTCATAATCCCACACCTCACATTAGCCAGTGCCTTACACATCTCTGTGCTTACATATGCATATATGGCTCATCCACTCATTCAATCAATCAATCAAAAAAATGTTTCTTGGGCTTCCCTGGTGGCACAAGGAGTTAAGCACCACACTGTGAAGCAATCCGCAGCCTCTACAGCACGAGTTCGATCCCCAGCCGGCCAGGGAGCAACCCACATGGTGCAGCAGACCTCACCTGTCGCGCCCACTGCTCCCCTCAGCAGTGTATTTCAGTAGATCCGCCTGTTCTGCTCCCCACTCTGTCTCTGGTGAATCCTCTCACCCCTCCACCCCTGCATCTCTGGCCTGTACCCCAGCTCTTCTATGCATAAATAAATAAATGTTTAAAAAATGTTTCTTTAAGGCCTCCTATGTGCCCTAAATAGATAGAAATTGGGACTGGACCTGTGGAAAAATAAAATCTCTTCCTTTTTGGAGCTTACAGTTTAGTGCAGGGAGACAGGAAGTAAATAAATTAAAAATGAATCCATAATATGCTAAGTGATGACATGGAGAAAATAAGACTGGGTCCGGAGAGCTGATGAATGGCCAGCAGGGAGGAGAGGAGGGTGGTATTTATCTGAGAAGGAAGAACCCTCCAGGAAGGTGACTTTGGGGCAGGACCCTTAAGGAAATGAGGGAGTGATTCATACGGCTATCTGGGTCGAGGGCAAAGGTCAAAGGCAGAAACAGAGCTAAGAAACACCAAGGAGACTTGATGACTGAAACAGAGTAACCTGAAAGGGAGGGGAATGGAGAATAGGTCACAAAGATCACAGGGACAGGGTGGAGACAGGTGACCCCTAGACCTGAAGGGGTAAAGAAAGGCTTTACAAAGCCCGTTGAGAACTGGAATGAGGAAGAATCTGTGACAGCAGTCACTGGAGGAGGGAAGGGATAGGATCTAACTCAAAAGTGTTAGAAAACAGAAAACTAGGGACTGGGTACTCCACTGCTTTCAAGGGCAGAAAAGTGAGGAGGAGCCGGCTCTGGAGAATGAGACTGAAGAATGACAGGGAAACTAGCAAGGGGAGAATGTTGATTTGGAAACTAAGAGGGGCAAAGTACATGGAGGAGGAGGGAGTGATCCACTATGTCAAAGGCTGCTGATGGGTCAAGGAAGAAATCAAGAGGGAAATAAAAGAAAAATCTTGAGACAAATGATTATGGAAACACAAGGCACCAAAACTTATGGGATGGAACAAAAACAGTTCTAAGAGGGAAGTATATAAGGATAAACACCTACATTAATAACAAAGGAAGATCTCAAAAAACTTTACACCTCTAGGAACAAGAAGAAGAAGAGAAGGAGGAGGAGGAGGGAAAGGAGGAGGAGAAATTAAGGCTAAAGTTAGCAGAAGGAGGCCTCCCCGGTGACGCAGCGGTTGAGCGCTGGGTTGCGAAGCTGCCCGCAGCCCCTGTAGTGCCGGTTCGATCCCCGGCTGCTCCCGGCCACCGGAGGAGGGTCCCACATGGCGCGCAGACCTCTCCTGCCGCCCGCTGCTCCCCTCAGCAGTGTCCTTCGGTCCTTCTGCCTGCTCTGCTCCCCGCTCTGGCTCTGGTGAATTCTCTCACCCTCCCGCGCTTCTGACTGTACCCAGTGCTTGTATAAACAAAACAAACAAATAAATAAATAAATAAAAATAAAACATGCCTCTATAAAAAAAATATTTAAAGTTAGCAGAAGGAAAGAATAACAAAGATCAAAACGGAAATAAATGAAATAGAGACTAGAAAGACAACAGCAAAGATCAATGAAGCTAAAAGCTAACTTTTGGAAAAGATAAAAAGAATTTACAAACTCTTATCTAGACTAACAAAAAGAGAAAAGACAAATAAAATTATAAATGAAAAAGCCTTTGGCTGAACTAAGAAAAAAAGAGAATAGACTCAAATAAATAAAAATTAAAGAGAAGACATTACAACTGGTGATTACTATGTACAGTTATATGGCACAAAAAGAAATGAACAAATTCCTAGGCTCATACAACCTACCAAGACTGACTCATAAAGAAATAGAAGATCTGGACATGACCACTAACCCGCCTCTGCTACGGCTCCTGGAGGGGGCCAGCGCGGGCCGTTCTCGCGTCTCTCGGCCCGCTGCGGGCCGCTCCGGCCGGTGCTTTGCCCCGGCGCCTCCGTGCGCTCGGCCAACGGCCCCTGAGAGCGCTCACCCGAGGGCCCCGGAGCCGGCGGGCGGCGGCCCTCGCCGGGGACCCTCCAGCGGGCCCAGGGGGACAAAAGCGGCTCTAAATCCACCAAACACACATTGAAGCACGAAAGGATTTAATATGAAGCACAGAAGCAGATAGTGCCAAATTGCAAGCAGTACTTGGAACACATTTAGTGAGTGGGGCAGCTTTTCCTTCTCCCACTGCTGCTGAGATGGCAGAAATTAGTCGAATTCAATATGAAATGGAATACACTGAAGGTATTAGTCAGCGAATGAGGGTGCCGGAAAAACTAAAGGTTGCACCACCAAATGCTGACCTGGAACAAGGATTCCAAGAAGGAGTTCCAAATGCTAGTGTGATCATGCAGGTTCCAGAGAGGATTGTTGTTGCAGGAAATAATGAAGACATTCCATTTTCAAGACCAGCAGATCTTGACCTTATTCAGTCAACCCCCTTTAAGCCCTGGCACTAAAACACCACCTCGTGTACTTACACTGAGTGAAAGACCACTAGATTTTCTGGATTTAGAAAGACCTCCTCCAACCCCTCAAAATGAAGAAATCCGTGCAGTTGGCAGGCTAAAAAGAGAGCGCTCTATGAGTGAAAATGCTGTTCGCCAAAATGGACAGCTGTTCAGAACTGATTCCATACCTGTGTTGCGGGGTGGGTCTGCTGCCACCACTTCTAATCCTCATCATGACAACGTCAGGTATGGCATTTCAAACATAGATGCAACAGTTGAAACAACTTCAGATGACATGACTGTTGTAGATGCAGCTTCATTAAGACGACAGATAATCAAACTAAATAGACGTCTACAACTTCTAGAAGAGGAGAACAAAGAACGTGCTAAAAGAGAAATGGTCATGTATTCAATTACTGTAGCATTCTGGCTGCTTAATAGCTGGTTCTGGTTTCGTCGCTAGAGGTAACCTCAGCTCTCGAAAACATTGTCTCAACAGCTGGAAATATAAAGAATTTGCAAACTTAAAAAAAAAAAGAAAAAGAAATAGAAGATCTGAACAGACCAATTAGTCCTAAGGAGATTGAATAAATCATCAAAATCTCCTTCCTAAAAAATCTCCAGTACTAGATGTTTTTATAGTAAATTCTATCATTTCAAAAAGAATTAAAACCAGTCTCCCTCAAATTCCTCCAAAAAAATGGAAGAGGAGGGAATACTTCCAAACTCATTTTATGAAAACAACATGACCCTGGTAATAAAACCAGACAAGGACACGGCGAGAAAATTACAGGCAATAACCCTGATGAGTATATAAGCACCCCACAGAGATACTGTTGTGGGTTTGTCACAGGGCAGGAAAAGGGGCAGCCCAGACCCTGCAAACCTGCCTGCTCTAAATAGGCTCTGCCATCCGCCGCATCAACACAAAACATATGAGACTTTAATGGGAAGGAACTTTAATACAATTAGGAAACAATACAGGAAAGGCAAAGAATATAGTTTCTAAATCAAGCACCCAAAGTGACCCGTCCCCTCATGGGTAAAAGTCCACCCAAGCAGGATTAGCCCAGAGCAAGGCCCCAAAGCCTGCCACAAGTCTAAAGCATCTTCCCGTGAGGACCTACAGAAAAGGATCAGAAACATCCAGACAAGTCTGGAGGGAAAAGAGCAAAATCAAAAGCAAGACAAAAACCACCATTGTCATCCCCCCAGGGGTCTCTCACCCACATCTGTGTCACCCAGTCCACGACCAAAAGGCAAGTGCAGTTTCTTCACGTGTCTCTCAGTTCCATGTGCCTCGTCCAGGTCTCCTTCTGGCTCCATCCTGCTTCCTTCCTTCCTCAGTCTCCTCTGCAGTTTCTTCTCTCCCTGCTCAGCTCCACCCTCCTTTTGGGTGGGGCAGGGAACTTGGAACCTCCCCCTTTCCTGGGGACCACCCTGTTACAGGTTCAGTTCCAAACCACCTAAATAGTAGATATCACAATAAAGAGTCACATGAACATTTTGGTTTCCCAGGGGGTATTTACCTGAAGAATATGAAGATACTAATTCAAAAAGATATATGGGGCTTCCCTGGTGGCGCAAGGGTTAAGATGCAACCTATGGGGCAGTCCGCAGCCACTGCAGCATGAGTTCGATTCCCAGCCGGCTGGGGAGCAGCCCACATGCGCAGCAGACCTCTCCTGGCTTGCCCGCTGCTCCCCTCAGTGGTGTGCTTCAGTCAATCTGCCTGTTCTGTTCCCCACTCTGTCTCTGGGGAATCCTCTCACCCCCCCACACACCTCTGGCCTGTGCCTCACCTCTTGTATGCATAAATAGATAAATCTTTGGGGGGAAAAAGATATATGTACCCCCATGTTCATTACAGCAATATTTTCAATAAACAAGTTATGGAAACAACCTCTGTGCCCAAGAGTGGATGAATGGACACAGATGATATGGTATATATGCACAATAGGATACTACTCACCTATAAAAGAAAAAAAAAGATGAAATCTTGCCATGATACAACATGGATGAACTTAGAGGGTGTTATGCTCTGTGAAATAAGTCAGATGGAGATAAATACTATATGATTTCACCCATATGTGGAAGATGAGGAACAAGCAAAACAAAGAAGAAATAAACTCTTGGATTATGAAAACAAAGTGGCAGTTACCAGAGGGGAAGGAGGAAGGGAAATTGGCAAAGGGGAGTAATTGTATGGTGTTGGATGTAAAATAAACTTTTGATAGAGATCAGTAGGTAGTACATACAAATGTACTTCTATGTGTAACTATCATGCTATACATGGAAACCTATATAACGTTATAAATCAATGTTATGTCAATAAAAAAAAATTTAAGGAAATATAGATTCCCATTCCAGGTACATGAACCAGTTGTGTGACTTTAGATACATTATGTCCCTTCTCAGCATCCAAGATTTCATCCATTCATTGAGGAAGTTGAACCACCCTGGAACCTCTTTAAAATTCTCTTGTGGGCCTCCCCTGGTGGCACAGGCGGTTGAGCGCTGCGCTGTGGGGCTGTCCGCAGCCTCTGCAGCGCCAGTTCGATCCCGGCCAGCCATTGAGGGTCCCACATGGCGCAGCAGACCTCTCCTGTCTCACCCACTGCTCCCCTCAGCAGTGTATTTCAGCAGTCTGCCTGTTCTATTCCCCCTCTGTCTCTGGTGAGTCCTCTCACCCTCCCCTGTATCTGGCCTGTACCTGGGTTCTTGTATGGATAAATTAATAAATCTTTAAAAAAATTAAAAAATGATATTCTCTTGTGCTTTCATCTCCAGTGTTTTCACTGGAGGATGTTCATTTTCCCCAATGCAGGGTGTGTGCAGACATCTTGAGGGCAGAGAGCTTTGATTTGTTCATTGCTATTTCCATTGGGTCTAGAATAGCAGTGCCTGGCACATAGGAGGCAGACAATTGGTCACCACGAGTGAGTGTGCAAATGATCACAGACACAGTCAAGGCCAGATATGCAGCAACTAGTCCTGATAATTTGGGTACCATTTTGCTTTTCCTCCCCCAAGGCTGTTGAGACCAAGGTGAAGGTTTCTAGATTGACTGTCAGTGACAACTACCACAGGCAATCAGGTACTTAGTGGGTTTTTTAGGGTCAATAAGTATTTAAAAGGAAATGAGAAAAAGGTTGAAATGTGATGTAATGCTTGCAGCTGCTGTTGACCACAGGGGAGATGCCACTTATCCCTTGACGGTGGCAACGTGGAAAGATAGCACCCTAACTGATGCATGACACAAACCAAATGAGAAACCCAAGAGCACTTGGGTTATTTCGCATCAATGCAAGGACTAGATGTGGAATGAATATGAAACCTGGAATTAAATAGACACCTGTTTGAATCACTGATTCACTGTGTGCTTTTAGAGAAATTACTTCATCTCTCTGGGCTCATTTCCTCCTCTGTAAAATGGGCATAACCTAAGCATCACCTCGTGCAGTTGTTGTGAGGATTAAATGAGGCCATATAATGGGGCTGCCAGTCAATGAGTGTTCCCTTCTGCATTCTCCCTGACTTTGTTCAGTGCAATCTTTTATTATTACTATTATTTCAAAATATACTTAAGAAACTTGAAGAATTTAAGAATTTAAGGCAGTCACAATTTAAAACGATCTTTGTTTTTACAAAATGCATTTGAGACAGTGTAATCTTTTAACCTTCTCTTTTCTTTCCTTTAGAATTACATTATCAGTTGGACATTCATCATAAAATTTTAGTTATAAACATTCTCAGAGAACCTAGAGGATAAACTTTATTTCATTGTAAACATTTTTATATATCTAAAAAGTGCTTCTACTTTGAAAGTCCCCCAAACAGTAGATGCCTTTGTACATTAGTATCTGGAATTACTGCTGAAGATCTATATTTCTTGCTCTGAAAAATAATAGAGACTTCTTGAAATTTAATGCATCATCTTGAAAAATCATTAAGTGCTTTTAAAAGGTTATCCTTAAATCTCTGTTTTTGATGCTATCCTCAAACACCTATAAGAAAATAGAGTGGCTCAGTTGTTCCTTCTTGTGAATATTGGAAAGAAAAATGATGTCTTAAAGCAGTCATTTTTATAAAGTAGCCACAGTGTTTCAACAGCACAGATGCTAACAACCTCATATGCAAACAAAAGCACTGTGCTAAATTCCTTCCAGTCATTATCTCATTAAATCGTGCCAACAAACTCATAGAAGCAGAGAGTAGAACGGTAGTTGCCATGGCTTGAGAGGATGGAGATACCAGGAGATATCAGTAAGAAGGTACGAGCTTCCAGTTATAAGAGGAGTAAATTCTAGAGATCTACTGAATAGCACCATTTCTATGGATTGTATACTGAAAAATTTGCCAAGCAGGAATAACTTATGTTTGTGTTCTTGTCACAAAATAACAATAGCAATAGTTATAATAACAGAGGATGGGAGAAAACTTTGGATGTGATGGATCTATTAATAGAAAAGATTGTGATGCTGGTGGTGAGTGTCCACTCATCTCCTAACTTGTCCAGCTGTACACATTGATGCTCAATACCTCAACAAAGCGGTTTGAAAAAAAAACTAAAAATCTTCCGTACCGCAAAAAAGACAATAACCAAGACAAAGAGACACCCTACAGACTGGGAGAAAATATTTGCACTCCACACAACTGATAAGGGACTGATACCAAAGATCTACAAAGAGCTCACACAACTCAACAAAAACAAAATAAAGAATCCAGTCAAAAAAATGGGCAGAAGAGCTAAAAAGACACTTCTCCAAGGAGGAAATGCAGATGGCCAACAGGCACATGAAAAAATGCTCAACATCACTTATAATCAGGGAAATGCAAATCAAAACCACAATGAGATACCACCTTACACAAGTAAGAACAGCCCACGTTAAAAAAAAAAACTAATGCCAACAAATACTGGTGAGGATGTGAGAAAAAGGAACACTTTTACACTGCGGTAGGAAAGCAAACTGATCCAGTCACTACGGAAAACTGTGTGGAAGACCCTCAAATTACTAAAAATAGATCTACAATATATGACCCAGCAATTCCAGTCCTAGGAATCTACCCAAAGGACACAAAAACTTCAATTGAAAAGGAAACCTTGGGCCTCCCTGGTGGCGCAGGCTGTTGAGCGCTGCACTGTGAAGCTGTCCGCAGCCTCTGCAGCACCAGTTCGATCCTGGACGGCCGGCGAGGGTCCCACATGGCGCAGCAGATCTCTCCTGTTGCGCCCCCTGCTCCCCTCAGCAGTGTATTTCCTCAGTCTGCCTGTTCTGTTCCCCCCTCTCTCTGGTGAGTCCTCTCACCCTCCCATGCATCTGGTCTGTACCCCGGTTCTTGTGTAAATGAATAAATAAATCTTAAAAAAAAAAATTCCAAGGGAAAAAAAATGGAAAACTTCAGTCCAATGTTCATTGCAGCACTATTTACAATAGCTAAGATATGGAAACAACCTAAATGCCCCCAAACAGATGACTGGATCAAGAGGCTGTGGTATATATACATAATGAAATACTACTCAGC